TGTTATGAATTAGGTAAATAAATGAACTTGGGGAGTCTTGATATGGCCTTAATGAAAGGTATGCATAAGCTATAAGGAAATCGAATCTTATTATATCTTGACAGATCTCGCGGCCGTTTGGTAAGATTTGAATTGTATTCCAAGACTTTGTAGGGGCGATAATCCAAATATTTATATAGAAATAGTCATTCCATATGTACAATGAATTTAATCACAAAAATAATATTATCCTTATTGTTACAATCATATAAAACAATCGTTTTTTTGGTGCACGTAACTATCTTGAGCATCGATGTGTTCACGTTATTGAGAGCTCATTCCCGACTGTTTACAGGTCTCAAAAGTCAGTTCATGAACTAGAAGCCCGCATCACAAACAAGTGGGTCCATGTTTTAAACCCTTTTGAGACAAATCGAGCTTATGACACAATTATGAAACAAATCTAAGATGCATTGTTTGGCCTTAAGAGTCCAAGGTTTAGAACATGTCCAACTGCAGCCGTTGTTCTTCCATTTGCCAAGTCACTAAAATCCCAAGTGGGGGCCACGTCACTACCACTGCCGCTGTATATAAAAGATTGATTAATGAAAAAATAAGTGCACAAAGCTGTAATTAACGACCCGAGCCGAGTTGATCATCCTGGTCCTCGAGCTCGAACTTGTTAACTAAATGAGATCAAATTTGACTCGTTTATCAAACAAATTAAGCTAATGGAGAACCCGTTACGTTTAACAGATGTACCTATGAGTCGCTGAGCACATAAATGAAAACGAGCCATAAACTTTGGAAACCATAGCAAAAGTAAAATTTTTAAATTTGATCCGATTAATGAATTTTATTTTCTTAAAGATAGTCATGGCTAGGAAAATAGATATAAGTTATATCGTCTTGATAACAACATATAAAATATGCTCTTATGGTCATATATGATCTGTGATTATAGAGAGATGCACGCTCCATGTATGATTGTTAATCACGTTATTTCATTCCGTCCCCCTTTAAAAAATTAAATGAATTTAGGAAAATCAAAACCATCACCACAAAAATAAAGTTGTTTTTTGGCACAATTAATCTTTAAATATTGATATATCTTTTCTTAACACATAACGTACCTTTAAATTAAATGTCCCTTTGCTTAAAAAAAATACACAAAAGTATTAACATTACATCAAAGTAAAATGCTACAAGTACATAATAAATATATATCGAGGTGTGCATAACACTCACGTAGAGTGGAGTTGCTTGATTTTTTTTTCAGTAGGTCTCACTCAATGTAAGTGTTATGCATATCTCTATTTACAATATTATATACTTATAACATTTTCTCTGTGTGAAATATGTTATATTTTTGTTGAAAAAAAAAAACAGATCGACTCGCCTAACGATTAAAATTAGCTTACACAAAAATTTGTATTTCCCCAAAAAGCTCCCAACATTGATGCCCCTCATACCCCAAAAAGAGCCAACCCAAATACCCTTCTTTTTTTAATGATTAAATTAAATGAATAAATACTAAACAAAATAAAGTTAAAAAAAATAATAATATAATAATAACAAAGGAAAAAGGTTCGCATTATTTATATGAAACTTTCATTTTCTCCACAAACCCACGAAAGAAACTAACTCCTCAACCGCAATGACCAACCTCAGACCAAACAAAATCATCTCCGGCGCAGGAAACTTCTCATTTCCGGTCCAAACCCGGGCGGCCGAAACCCACCGGAAAATCCCGGAAGACAACGAGGAGTTCGAATTCGGGTGCCTCCCGAGCCCGGGCTCCCCAAACTCTCCGGCCGACCATTTGTTCCTCAACGGCCGGCTCCTGCCTCACGTGTTCCCGG